ATTGACAGTAAGTATTATTTTATCATAACAACCTTACTAATAGGAAGGCTATTATTCTTGTCACTTTCATATTCATCCAGAACAGAACAAAAAGATATATGTGTTATAATAGTGTGATTTTTGTCATCTGCCTTTTCTAAAGAGATGTTGAATGTAGCCATTAGTTCAAAATCAGTAATTTGCATTATATTGCTTGTATTAAAACTCGCATTACTATCAGTACAGTTCATTAATACATCATTGATGCATGGTTTTTCAGAGTCTGATCCTGTCAACTGTTCAAGCTATTTTAAAAAGAACCATTCACAACAGCTATAGTAGATAGATAGAACATACTATGATAGTTATTGAAAGTATCCAATTTTGGTTTTTGTCACGGCTTCTGTTGTCGATTTGAGTTTGTACAATGTTATCTATAATAAACATGAATTAAAATCTGTTGCAACAAGCGTAACAGGGTAAAAAAATATTCCTATAATTAATTTCACCACCTTGCAAGAACAACTTGGTCATTATTAAGACTTATAAAGGTTCTCTCTACCTTATAATGCTTCTAGAGAAGTCTTTAGACAGTATCTATATGCTCTCTTGCTGTTAGAAAGCTCTTAACTTTGTCCCATGTGTAAGCCGCCATTTTGTTTGCCGTGACCACACCCACTCACGTAAAGGAGCGTGGGCGGGTGGTTGCTAAGGCTTGTTATTTCTCCAATACAACATGTATAGAAGAAATGTAAGTGTGGATATACAATATACATAGCGCAACGGTGAATTCAATTATAGGAACGACCTGGGGGCGAAGCCCCCAGGTCGTTAATAACACATCCTTACATTTTGTAGTATTTAATTTGATTTTGCTTAATTCGCCTTCTCCAACCTCATTAACAGCTGCTATGCTAATACAAAGATTAGTTAGATTAAGATTATCAAATTTTTCAGGACAATAGTACCACTCTGCTATACTGACATTAGTTTGAACTATTATGTTACCGTTGTTATCAGTGACATTAATGTTATATCTCAAGATATCAAAACCAGCCAGAGTAAATGGGGGTGTCCAGTCAAAATCATAACAGGAGTCATTCTCTAATGTCCTCAAACTTTTAACAGGTGCTAACTTACCTTGTACTCGGAGTATCACTGAAGAAGGACTAAAGTCACCAATACCAAATCCAAATGCAACACATTGTACTTCAGTGTCATTGAATGGAGCCACTAGTCCTGGTATAATGAGAGAAGAGACTGGTGTTGCTGCTCCATTAACAATAACACCAAGTGAGGTCAATGTTGAAGCTGATACTGTTCCATTTAATATCCAGTTAATAAGAACAGCTGAATGATTTGATGAACAGTTAAAGACTGCTGTATCTCCTTCAGCAATAATAGGAGGCTCAGGAGATAAAGTGAAGGTAACTTCTACATTGCCTAAAAATTCAAATTTTATGATTATATCTATAATAGACAGCACTGAGTCAATTTAATGGGACTCACTCGCTATTGGATTAGATTTTGACAACAAAGAAAGAAGCAAAAGAAGTAGATCTAATACCTACGTCAAACTATAACTATAGCAACATAGCTATTTCCGAGCATTACCTTTGCCATACTCACTTATACCAGTATTTTAGCTTGAAAGATTTAGCCTCGGATTTTTAGTCTCGCTAGCCAGACCCTTGGTCTGCTGCTGTGATAGAGAAAAGATGCGCTGCCGCTGCGTGCCTAGATCTATTAATATTATTCATAGTCAGGCTCCGCCTAACTCTATTGTATAATTTGTATTGTTTGACTATTTTGTGACATCTTTTCATTGTTGACTACACAATGCATTGTGAATAAATCACAGAATAATAAATAGAAAATCATCCATGAATCTCAGATCCGGGTGGTCTGATAACTGACTGGCACTGACTGTGTCCAACCATAGATACTTTAATATGGTCCAACATTGAAAACTCCATGATTGTAGACTAGGTTATTGTAATTTTCAAAGCTAGGAAAATAAAAAAGTTTGTTGATTTTCACCCAACCAATCCCCACTTTACACACTGTTTGTCCTTGTAGGCTATAATATGTTCATGAAATCCTCTTGATCCTTTTCCTTCTTAATTTTTTTGGGTGTCAGGACTATGGCACCTCATCACAGATCTGTGTTGTAAATGCTCCCCCAACTTTCTCACTTCTAAACTTCTTTTATATAATTATTCAGACCCTCAAGGTCACTATTTCTTTCCTAGTTCTTCACACTGTCTACTCCTTGTAAAGTTATGCGTATTACGATGTTGTTATCATTATACTATTTATAGGAATCAATTTTACAGATAAAAATAGAGTTCATAATAGGAACCCATTTTGAATGATCAAATCCCAATAATCATGCATGAGTAATGTGCATTTTATATTACAGTATTCCACAAGTCACTAGCAACAATTTTTGTTGGAGTGGAAGTAAGTCGATGTGTTATACTGACTTTTGCATGACACTCCTACAATACTGCTGCATGGTGTAGGCGTAAGCTGTTGATACATCCATGCAGCTTCCTACAGTTATTATGTTACATACAGTCACTGTGAGAAATTTTAACATTTTAATAGACAAGTTATGTAACCATAATAATCATAATTATAACAATTACACAAGTGAATGATTGAGTGTTATTCTATTAAAACCAGTTCTTATATTATTAGTTGTATATACTGTTGAATATTGTACTCCATTGATAACTGGTGGGCTATTAACCATAGTAACAGGTCGAGGATTATACCAACAATTCTCATCATTATAAAGAGGAGGAGGAGGGAGAGGGGAGGAAGGGAAGTCCAACTGAGCATATTCACTACCATCAGTTGGTCTTGCTGAAAGAGGTGGAGTAGCTTCTGATGAAACGTTCAGCCTTGAAGGCTACAATGAAACAGAAAGACAATATGAATACTAAAGCTTACAATAATCAACATTCAATCACAATGAATGACTGGTATTCAAACAATAAATGCATTCAATATGTATCTTACTATTATGACACTCTGTGGTCTATCAAATGGCTCAGTTGCTATATTGAGTGCTGACTCATAGGATGGTGGAGGTGATAATTCATCAGCTACAGGTAATGATGCTAGCTGATTCACTGCAGCCCATGCTGACAATACTGGTGTAGGCCTCAATGAGGACTAGAAATTGATAAATAAAACTGATTCGTAAAGCAACTACAAATGCACTAAGTAATAACGTATTTAGCTACACTACAATGTGATAATAGAGTCTAATCAGTGCTGTACATTAATTTCAATGCAATATAGATATGGTCTCATAATGATAGGGGCTTACTCTTGTAGTCTGTGGCTATACTGATGAATTATTATTATCTCTCAATATTAACCCAGTGTCTGATTTTGAACTGTAAGGAGATAGAAAAATATTATAAAAAATCAATCATTTTATTAGCTGATATTTGGAAAACATTCTATTTCTCATCTTCTATGCATTAAAATATTTTTAGGCAGTTTAAGTATAAGTGCTACATTGAGGAATGACTTACTCTCATGAAGGTAGATCTGTTGTCACTGCTGATGGTGATGAGATGAAGAAGGGAGAGTGAGTGATGGAGATGCATGTTAATAAATGGTGGTTGGTGGATTATTAACCATTTATAGAGCTTGCATGGCCAG